ACTTCATTTTTAATTGTCCAATGGCCTTCATGTTTTTAGGTTCACTTGAATAATCATAATAATCATTCATCAGACAAGAATAACAGCTGATCTATATCAAAACATCATATATATTATTCTAATTGCAAAGACTTACTTTGGAATTTCACATATTATGTTTACTATGAATTTTCCTCTCGCTTAATACGTTTAGTGTAGTACTTCTTTGGAAGCGGTAACTACCAACCCCAATACCGTATAACTTGCACTTACTTGACCATGTTGTAGCTCACCGGTACCAAGACTAATCGTTAACTCAGTTAAAACTTTATTAAAGTAACTTGTAATTGCTAAAATAATAGAATTCTAGCTAGATTGTTTCCAAAAAGTAAGTTTTTCTTTCAATCAATTATAGATTCCAGTTTGCTTTACATGGTAGACACAAGAATATTTTTGCTCATTGGTACAATATTTTATATTGTTTGTGAGAACAAAATATTGGAATTTTCTTTTTTTTTTTCTTTTCAAAAGGGCAGATTTTGTGCACATAGAGACAATAAACATGGGTTTTGCCAAAATAATCCTCTCTTCAAAAAATATTTTCCAAGGATGCACTTCCATATTTTATCCCCATAGTGATGACTTTTGCCACATCAGTCGTTAAATTCTCATTAAAGATGAACTATTATTTTGCAACTTTTTATTAAGGGGAGTATGCCATCATAACTTGGTCGATAGCTTATTATTTAAATGAGAGTCTTGACAATATTACCCATGCAAATATCAAATTCTGAAACTTTTAAGGGTAATTATGTTTTATGCTGGATATAATTGATTCACTTAAGTTGTGTTTTGATTGAGAAATTTGATGAAAGATTTGAATTTCAGTTAAATTGCTCCAATTATTTGGATTGATTAAGAGGCCTTTAGGTTTATAATTCATCAATTATTTTTATATAAAATAGAAGCCAATATTATTAATAATCTAGCTGCATGTTTTGCTTGACAAATAAAACATCACCAATAGCAGAAAATATATATAACAAGTCATAGATATATCTAAACTAAATAATCATTAGGTTTATAACATGCTCCATAAATATCTATGCATGTCTATTTCTTCAGATCCGCTATCCAATTAGTTTAAAGTTCAGAACTTATATCAAGATCCGATAAGAGGATCCAAAAAATTTCAAATCTAATATATAGATCTAAAAACACTTTTAAATCTAATAGAAAAAATAATTAAAAAAACTAAATAAAACTCTCACTAAAATGTCTTAGAAAAAAAAAAAAAAAGAAACTCTCACTAATAAACATTAGGAGAGAGAGAGAACTCTCACTAGAATACTCTATGAGAGACTTTATTAAACATAAACTAAAAACAAAGGAAGAAAAATATAAACCTTAGCTTAAAGCCAAGACCTCTCTCCTATGAAGAAAGAACGGTGGAAAGAAGGTTACAAGTGGAGAAAAGATAGAGAGAGCGGGTGGGAGAAGCAAGATTTGTTATTCATCAATTATCTAATTACACTTTAAATGCTAAAATAATTTGTAATTTATAAAATTCAAATACTTTTTAAGTAATCTAAAAAACTAAAAAGAATTTGAAAAAATGTCAAATCTTTTGTCAAACCCTTCAATCCAAACATGGCCTCAGAGACTCTAAGCAAGCCAAGTCGAAAAAGGAAAAAGGTCATTAAATAATTAGAAGAAGTACAAAAATTCAAACAGTTACATCATAAACATACTAGATTTATTAGACTAATCAACGAATATAATTTAAATGCTTAAATATCACAAGTAAGAGTTAAGAACAACCACCTTTTCTCATTGGCTCTCATCATGCACATGGTATGGAAAATTATAATCAACAACAACTATTCAAGATTTCTCCAAATTTCATAAAAGATTTGTGATCACTGTACAATCAAAAGTGAAAAAAAGAGAGTAACCTTCATTTACCTTTGAGGTTGCATGGATAATAGAGGGATGGAAAGAAGATAGGGCTGGACATTAGAAATGAAAAATGGGAACTACGAGAACGGAATATAGAAATCAAACAGGATTGGTTTTCAATGAGCTGATTTTCAGTCTATCTGGCAACATATAAATTAGAATGCGAATAAAATCTGCAAGTAAATTATTGATAAGAAGATTATTTTGGCAAGAAAAGAAAAATCTAAAAGTAGCATTAGAGCTAACTAGTAAGTCGTATCTATTTGATATGAATGCTTAAAAACAGGAAAAACAACAATAACATCCCCCGATAAAAGTCAAGACTAAACCCGAGGAGTTGGGGCCAGTGGTAAGCGGCTGGTAATGCGAGCAGGACGATCAAGGTTCGATCCTCGCTGCGCTCCTGCGATAACTTCAGGGCCAGGCCTTCACCCTCGAGTAAGAGTCAAAATCTGCGGGCGCTCCCCGGGTCGAATCCGGATTAGTCCGAAAGGGATACCGGATGGTTAGACCCAAAAAAAAAAAAAAAAAAAGTCAAGACTGAATGAAATACAAGTAGTTTGCATGCCGATACCTAATCTTGGAAGAGGGAAAGGAGAGATAGGTAAGAGTGGTAGAGGCACGCAAACCATGACAGCACCTTAAGATTTTATTATGGTTCCAACGTCCAATTGCATTCCCCAATCCGAAAGAAAAGTAGTAATAGCAACACTGGAATAATTGAATTGAATGACAAGTTATATAGATTGAGAAATAAGTTACTATATACAGGTCGAGTGCGGCTGCTGCGGGGGAGCCATTTCCAAAACCGATTGTGTCCGAGTCTGGAGCCGACTATTTCGTAAGTGTAAAAAGAAAAGGTTGGTCCCGAGTTGGCGTTGTACTCTTTTTAAGTTTCATGTTGATTTTATTCCCCCCATTGCTATGCCTGTTTCCGTTTGTGGGATTGAGAAGCCAAAGCGAATTAGAATTGGAGGACTCGCTTGAAAATGATGGTACGAAACAACGGATGCGTGCATGCCTCCTCCTCCTCCTCCATTTTTATCTGAAACTACAGAGTTCGAGCTGTATTATTCAGGTTAGGTGCCTTGATGGAGATGCTGTTATAACTGTCAAAGCCGTACATAAAAATATGACGACCGTTTTAGACTTCCCCGTCCAACCACTTAAAACCCGACGAGTTTTCCCCGCAAATAAGGCACTAATTTAATTTCTACAGGTTGGCAAAGTTGAAGTACCCTACTTCAAAATGAGCGCCGTAGGAAAGGGGACGATCAAAATGACCGCTGCAGGAGAGCTAAGCTAATTAGCAGTAACTAGTTTAGTCCTTCCCCTTGGGCCTTGATGAAGAGGGGCTGCAGCGATTTTTTCCGATCTCGAACGCAAACATGAGTAACTTTTAAATGCTGCTGTTTTGGTTGGTGCACGGTTTTTAATGCGACTGCCCGAGCCTGATGATGATACTGCTGTCATCCTCTCCCCTAAGTACGCTGGTCCTACCCCCAACGTCAATGGCATTTGAAGATGGACAGGACAGCCATGGACCGGAAACTGGCTGCCCCCGCCCCATGTGAATGTGAATGTTGATGTTGAGCTACTATCAATCTCATTAATTTAACCACTCAGTACAAACTATTAACACGCGCTGCTATTTGATAAATGCATCATCAGATCATCTTCAATCGGAGCGCGTTAGCCGACATTTACTTCTGTATTCAATGTAAATGACGTCTCCACGAATGCAAAACATTTCATATCTTGGCGTTCTTACTTCTTGTTGTGCCATTAGGGTGCTCGTGCCCTGTAGAAGATCCGCAACGGATTAGTTCAAGCGTCAGTATATGTTTGGCGTGAAACGTTAATTGTGGATCAAATCTAGTAAGGTTATTAGTTACCAGGCTTTAGAGTAATGTAAATCAGTGCTTTGGCACCAAATTGGGCGGCGGAGTTCCAGATTTTTTTGTGTGTCACCGACCGCGATAAGCCATTTATTTTGGGTTCTTTTCGAAAACAACGGGTATCTTAGTCTACTCGCTCTTCTACGTGGCCTTATTATCATCATGAATGAGGTTGGGACAACCATGGAGATCTTTCATTCATTTATACAAAGGGTGCACGAGATGAAGATAAAGATGGAGCAAGGCTGCTGCACACACCTAACCTTTACTAATAGTTATTTCCTGCCCAGCAGTTAAACTTAATTAGGGAGATTATTGTTGCACGTTAGTGTGCAAGTGTAACAATCATATTACACATTTTAATGCCCCTGCGTGAATGGTCCAGCACCAGTGAATCTTGAGGTCACCAGTTCGAGTCTCCGCTCCGCTGGATTCCTCCGCGCACTTAACGTGTTCGGGTCAGGTTGGGGCCCCGGATCCGGGTCGCAGGAAATTAATCGGACCCCGTAACAATTGACCCGGACACCCCTGTGTCGACAAATATATATATATATATATATATATATATTACACATTTTAATGTATTGATAACGCGCCTTCCTCAAGAGTTAAATTTAATTGTGATAGTTCAAGGAGCACAGTATCAACATATTACAATGCATAACATGGAACCTCTCGTCTAGGGCGCACGTTTTAAACGCATCAAACGTTAATTATAGAATCTCATAGTTGAGCAATTAATATATAATAATCGCGCTTGCTTCAAAGCCTGATGGTCTTGAGCTCTTGATATTAGTAATTACTACATCATGTTTATTGCGCTCCATATATAAGCCACTCCTCCTTAGGTTTTCATCTCAGCCCTCCCCGCAAGGAACGACAAAAATGAAACTGCAACAGATGATTGGCATTTTCTTTCCTCATTCTAGAAGGACGAAGGGACCGTGCAGCGTAAATTCTCCTAAACCGTATAATGGGCATTAAGGTGGGTAGTTTGGTTTGGGCTGTGCCCAATGATCAGTCGCAGTAGAAGGGGGATGCCGTCATGGGCCCAGTTGGCCGATCCATGCCCGACCGATCCATTTCAAGGTTGCGCAATCTATACGCACATAACACGTAGCCTCAGCTAAAGTTAAAGAACAAAGACCCTTTGCCTTTTTATAATGCTGTTTGCGCCGGCCGCCTCTCCTTCATTTGTAGCTCACTTCCTAGTCCGCTACTACTACTACTTCTACTGCGAGGTCCCCCGCGCGAAGAAAGACAAAATCAAAATGCTGAGCAATGGCCCTGACTTCCCAAAAAAGATGTCGCTATTCCATATCCAACCCGATGATAAATTCTTCTCCAGGCTCGTGTCCAAGGAAAACTCCTCTGCCAACCCTTCTTTCAGAGTATACTACGGAGACTTATCCGGTGCGGTCCCATTCACATGGGAGACTAGGCCTGGTACCCCGAAACACACTTCTTTTTCTGATTCTACGTCCCTCCCTCCGCTCACTCCCCCTCCCTCCTACCATACTAATACTTCCCACAGCAGAAGCACTGACAAGTCCACAACGAAGCAACCGAGGTCTAAACTGGTGTTGCGCAGTTTGCTGGCGAGGATGATCAGTCTCAACAGGGCAGAATATTTGGCATCACCACCTTCTTCATCATCATCCTTGTCATCCTTATCATCCTTCAGGTCCTCCTCTCACTCGTCCTCCTTTTCTGGTACAATAACACCTTCCAGTTTCCGTGGGCGCCGGAGACGATTTTCTAGCTGGGGTTCATCACTGGACGACGACGGCGAAGACGACCATTTGCAAATGCCCAGTGGCAGTGGATCTCCCAAGTCAACGTTTTGCTTTCCTGCAAGAAGAAGCACGATCAGCGGTGGGAATGATCAAGGCGGCAATTCAGTAGCAGTTGTGACCAGGAAGAAAAATCTCTTGTCCATCATTGGCTGTGGATCTGGCTGATGGTCAGGAAGGGTTCGCGAATTGCTTCTTGACGATTTGCCCCATTTATTTGCTTTGAACTTCTGTTTCTGTTTGTGTTTGCTAGCTGGTGTGTTCATTGAAGCGAACGTTTTAGACTACTAATTATTCATGATTCGTAATGTATTCATGATTATGAAAGTTAGCCAATAATCGTCGCCTACTGTTCGTACTAATGAAGCACTCCATATTCCCTCGTATCCCTGGCCTCCTCTTCATCCCCTGCTATTTAAGAATTCTAGACTATTGAAGCGTGCCCATCTAATAATGGTGAGATCGATACTAGCAGTAGTAAATTATACATGCACTGTGCAGCATGCACTTGGACTTGTCGACCAGAGTGAGTGCACTGAGTACGTACTTTCAGCATTAATGAGTTCATAAACAAGGGCTAGAACAACATCCTAAGATCCCACGATTCTAATCAATAAATTCTTCATTTCCTTGAAGGACTGCGCCAAATTTAATAGCTAGCAGTCTTGACTCCATCCGACATCGGTCAGAGTAGCTTAAATAGCAGTGCAGGGTATTAATCTGCACGAAATAATCTCCAATTACCAAAGCTCAGGTGCAGAAGCAAGCAGCAGTACCGCTATTTTTGTTTTAATCCTGGGAATCACTCGTAGAGTCGTAGTAGTGATTTCTTTGAGAAAAAGAACAAATACACAATAGCATTAATCAGTACAGCCATTATTATTTTGATGTCTAGATCAATACATTAAAAATGATAATCTTTTGAGGACATTCAATTTGTACTAAGTATTTGGAGGATGAAAAGTCGGTCAAAATTGTAACAAAATTTGTAATGATTCATCAAATGGTAAAATCTAGTCAATTTCATGCAAAATTTGATGAATAACCAGCACAAGTAATGAAATACTCCGATTATGAATGGTATTGATTTTTAAAAGTAATTTTCAAATTATCTGTAATGGAGAGAAATTCTCCTCAAAACAATACTACAACAATGGAGGGAGTGACGGAGAATGAAAAGGATCTACGACAACAAACAAAAGGACCCACTAAAGCTCGCACCGAGCAATAGTTAGTATCTAGTTTTGTCGGTGGTCTTGACTGATACATGCAAAATTGTAGGGCTGCCGGTCGGTCCCCAGCGTCATAAAATGCTCAACGCTCATGGTTTTTCCTGGCAGGAATTACAGATACGGGCCGGGCAGATGCATGTGTTCTTCCCGTGACAGAAATAATGGAGATGGCTATGGGTTGGGGATGCTGTAAACATCAACATTATCAAGGGGAGAAGCCATCAGGTAAGGTGTGGCTAAAGACAAGCGTAGCACGATCGAGTTGTTCATGGGGAATGTCTTTAAATTATCTGAATAAAGCCAACGAAAATATCCCACAGATCATGCTGTTGTAATCAAATCAACCGTAACTGATCAAGGTTTTGGCTTACAGTAGTATTTCATTTTCTTTTTGTTTGATTTATATTCACAAATCAAAATAACTTGACTCACTTCCTTGTAATTGACTCAATTTGTCAAGAAGCTAAAGTATTTTTCTTTTCTTTTTTTTTTCTTTTCAACTAACAATTGAAATTCCTTAGAACCGGCCATTAGTACTTTATTGCGTGAGGTGGGTCACTTGAATGGTTACTCAGAAAAAAAAAAGAGAGAAATTTTAGTCCCTAATGTTTAGCATCTGTGCGGCTTTAGAATAAAAAAATTGAGTCCCCATTGTTTAGCATCTGGTGTAACTTTAGTCATTAAAATTTTGCTAAGAAGAAATCCAGTCCCTGCGTATCCAATTCAATGTAGTAGATTAAGGACATTTGAAGGATTTTTCCCAAAATTTACCCATCCGCAATCATATGTCCGTGAAATTGAATTTAAAAATAAAAAATAGTGGCTAACCTTAAATAAAAAGATTATGGACTAATAACTTATGAATTAATTAATTAACTAGTAAAAGAGAAAAAAAAATTATTAAACTACAAACATGAAACTAATTGGAGCACCTGGTTCATCAATTAGAACTCATTTTCACCCTTTATCCCCACCATCCCCTCAATTTTTATGAATACGTTAATAAATTCTCCCCCTCTTTCATATCTTATTTATTAGTTACCCTGCTGTTTTATGAAGCTTCTTCTTTAAAATTTTTTTTTTAATTTAACTAACACGTGACCTGGGTTCAAATTGAAAATTGAAAAATTCATTAATTTTCATAATTTGGTTCAAATTGAAAAAATTGGAAGCTGGGTTTATTTTCACCAAAGTTTTAAGAACTAAAATCGCATCGGGTGCCAAATATAGGAGGGCCAGATTTGTTTTTGTCGAGATTTTAGGACTTAAATCGTACAAGTACCAAACTTTGGAGATCGTATATATAGTTGCAATTAATTCTTCCCAACTTAGTTGGCAACAAGGCGGAAATACGCATTTTTCTTGAATATTGTCGCACCAGAGATCCGTTTTCCCCCTTACCTCTTGAGCAATCATAGTGATTTTAAATTAAATTAAGTAAGATCTCTTTTCTTTTTTTTTTTTTTTTTTGGGGGTCAAAACAGTAAGGTCTCTTGAAAGGACAGAGAAATGCATGCCTATTAAGCGATTTTTTTTTTTTTTTTCACAAAAATGTTGCGCCTTAATGTTTTGCTTGGGGGAGAAATGCCGTTTTGAGAATTCAAACCTGACATTTGAGAATTAGATGAAGGATGAGTTTACGACATGAATGAGAGAACTCAACTTAAAATTTGTTATTATAAGCGTGCATGGGAAAGCGGACTATAAAATAAAATAAAGCAGCTGCAGTTCAATCGGCGACGCAAACAGCTTTAAACAATTCTCATGGACTGCACTCCTAAACAAATCTTCAAGACCACCACAGCCCCAAAAAAGGTGACAATAAACTTCTTACGTTGCATGGAAGAGTACGTTTACAAATTAAGGACCTAAAAAATCACATTTCATTTAATTTTCAGCCAGCCGTCCTATTCTTTACTCCTTGGAGAACTCGTCTTTCAACGAAATATTATTATATATAAAGGATTTAAATTTAATTTCACAAAGACTTTTAATGAAACTTGAAACATTTAAAAGGACCGATTTGATTTCGGGAAAAACTGCAGCAGCAACTGTTGGCAATAATTGAACGACGGACGAGGCAGGCAGGCATGGAAACTAGTTCACCTTTCTGCAGTTGAATCGGATTTGACCTTGGCTCCCCGTCAAAGGTTTAATGTTGCCCATCTTAATCATGGAATTGGCAAAATCAGCGGAGAAGGCGAGCAAGTTAGTGGAGTACGACTTGACGAGATCCTGGGTTGGGCCCCCAGCACCAAATAGTGCCTGATCAGAGTGAAGTAGCCCTCTCTTGCTCACCAAGTTACTGAAGTAGGCAGTGTCGAAAGCGGCAGGGGAAGGATCGAGGGGGCTAAGGTTGGAGTCGCCCCCAGCGCGAGGACAGGTTGCTTGCCTTTGGCTGGCAAAGGAGGGGTCGATGTTATTGGTCTCGTTGTAGATTCGGTTTCTGAAGAGGCGGCACTGAGCAAACCCCAGGGTGTGGCCACCAGACAGCGCCACAAGGTCTTTAACGTTCAGACCTTGCTTCTTGAAGCTGCTAATGAGTGCTGGCAGGTCCATTAATGGCGATGGTATGTCGTTGTTTGCTACGCTTCTGCTGGCGGTCGTGGAGTCTCTCCTGCCCAGCTGAACCGCCCAAGATGGTCCTCCTAACTGCACACAAACAACAACATCGCATTATACTACTGCTATATCATTATACTACTGCTACATAAACGACCTGCTTATGTTATAGCTAGTTCGTACTAACTACTAGCAACATGCATCTTTTGGGATCGATGAACAAAACTTGACAGGGATTTGGGGGTTGAGACTATATATACATATATATATATATATATATATAGGTCACAAACGCACAGCAACTACGGAGTCACGAGCGGCAACGGCCAAAATATCAGCGCAAGATACGACGGGGCGTCCGCAGACTTTGTCCACTTGGGCCTTGATCCGGTCGATAACCTCAAATCCTCTTGCGGAATTCGCATTAGGAAGCGCATTCTTTTCACTGTCAATTGTGGGTGTTGCATCTAGCAGTATTGAAGCATCACAACCCTGCATATATATTTGCATGTGAGGAGGGGAGAAATCATTAGCACCCAAAAATTCAAATTCTACACACACACATATATATACATGCATGCATGGCCATGCAACACATTACACGTTAACTAACCAGTAGTCGTCCGACATACCATTTTATATTTCTCATTCGCATGCGGTAGTTAATTTAATTGGGGCCGGGTATACTAAAACACAACACATTCTGAATTTCTGATCAAGAAATAACGACGATAAGAATCAAGCAGAGAAATCGAATACATCAGATCTTACATTAACGAAACAGTCATGGAAATGTAGACGCAGTAAAGAGGCTCCCATGCGGCGCTCTTGGCTCACGGCATCCTCCACCATGCGTCTGATGGTTGGCAAGGCTTGGGGACACACTCTGTTATAGTATGCGGGCGAAAGTGGAGCAGAGGAAGCTAGGCCCAATACCAGGGAAGACAATATTATTATCAAGGCATGTAGATACAGACACAATATGGAGAAAGAAGCCATTAATCGTGGAATTGAGAAGCTTCCGATGGAGGTGCTCGCTCTTCTCTCAGTTCAGTTTGAACTTGGAGCTACTGCTGCTGCTTTTGATTCTAGTTACTACCACTACTACTTAAAATTCTATGGTCGGTAGTGACACTTGTGACTTATATGACGAGCAGCTGTGTCTATTTATAGCTAGCTAGGCCTCAGTATTTTGCCCAAAAAAGAAAAAGAAAAAAAGAGAGGGCTACAGTGCCGCTCCAGATCTGGTGCTATTTTTCTACTTAGGAACCCTTAATTAAGTAATCTTTTAGATATATGCGAGTATTATACTCCACCGAAACCCAAAAAAAAAAAAAAAAAAAAATTTATCGACACTTCCGTACTAATTGAATGTGTCAAACACGGCATGATTATGAGACAGAAGTTGGCCAGAATTTTAAAATATATATATAAAAAATAGCATAAATTCACGCTAATTAATTTCATTCTCAACCCATTCAAACTAAATATACTTCTCAATATGGATGAAGGTCGCAAGTCAGGAGAGTTGTTAACTTGATTGCTTGGTCTATTAAAGTAGATCTGTCGGGGATATATAATACTAGCGCTTG